TCTCTGCAGGTCATTCACTAGGTCCCCCCGTGTGGTTCTGGGAATGGTTTTAATTAACCATTAGTCTTTATGGTCACATGATCCTTCAGAAATACTTCTAATATGCTGATTTGGCACTCAAGAAACATTTCTTATAATTGCCAATGTACAAAACGGTTGTGCTGCCATTTTGAAACCATTTTTGTTCCATTTTGTGATTATTTGATAAATATAAAGTTTAAAACAACAGCATTTATTTTAAATAGAAATATTTTGTAAAAATTTACTTTGTTCAATATATTTATACAACAGCTTGTTCTGGTTGTCAAATCTGATTGGTTGAGAACCATGAGATATTGTACTGGTATCGCTACAGGAACGCCCTTTCACTGTTTGTATCACTCCACTTCCCGTATTTCTCACATGCAGCGAGTGTCAAGGCAGACGCCCAAATCCACTAAACTTTAAAAATAATACTGTTTTTGTGTGACAGAATGTAGTTTTAAGAGTTATAGGCGAGAATGTACTTGTTTAGACTTCAAATATGCAGTTTGTTAATAAAAATAACGTCTATTTGAAAATTTGCTTCAACGTTTTCGGAGATGTGAGCTCCAGGGCGTCAGCGGCCGTTCAGCGCTCATGAACCCGCCAAGAGCAGCCTCACCTCGTCCAGTTCTTCTGGAATTTGCCGCTGGCTCTGATGTCTCTATAGTGGTTAAACATGAGATTTAATTCATTTTGGGTCATTCTAACGGGCAGTCTTTAGTCTCATTAATCTATTATTTGTTCCAGAGCAAATAGTTTTGGCTGAGGGTAAAATCTCATGATGTTATATTTTATGTAACTTTAATGCTGTATATTAGAGCGCCGCCTTTGTACCTTTGACTGAATTGTCTAGCAACTTTTATGATGGCTGTTGTTGTTGTTGTTTATTATTCAATAAATACTATTTTATATATATAGTAGTACTTTTACGTACACAAATGTCTCATTAAAAATGTTTACAAATTGATAAAACTGATCCGAGATCAGAGATGATCAATGGTTCACCGCTGAGAGGCGAGCTCAATGAACTCACATGATTCACGGGTTCACAGAGATCGCCCCCCAAAGGCAAACTATTGAAATTTCGAAACGTTTCGAAACAGTTATCACGTAACAAAGCCTCGTTTACTGAAATCACGTGACTTTGGCATTTTGATACGTGCTCCGAATCCCTGTTTTGAAACAAATGGTTCGCAAAGGTTTCGAAGCTTCATAAAGCAGTGTTTCAAAAGCGGCCATCACTACTTTCAATAAAACATTTGCAATGGGTTTTTAAAAGCTGTTTTTATGCATGTTTTGGCATGAGTTTTTGTTGCATTTACACACTTTTGACCAGCAGATGTCAGCATGTGGAGTTTCGATCGCTTCGAAACAGTGAATCATTTTGCGAAGCAATTGGTTCAATTGATTCAAAGCTTCGAAAAGGTTTGTTTCTCCCATCACTAGTATTTAGTATTGGGAAACAGTGTGTGTGTGTGTGTGTGTGTGTGTGTGTTCGTGATGGTGATGGTGATATTTGTGACATTGTTCCACCATTAGATGGCATAATGCAACTACAGTCCAGTCCATTACTATGTGCTGCTTAATTCTGTCTGAAGGGAAACTTGAAAACTGTACATTTTCGTTTAATATACAATTTGCAGGATGAGAAATTGTAAAGAGGTTAATATTGCAGCAGGTTAGAGTATATGGTCAACTTTGACAGTGAATAAATTATAAAGGACAACTCAGGCCTGATTGCTATAATATTTTGTCACTGAAGTTATGAAACATTCCACACACCATTTTTTCTTGAGTGAAGAGAACACTGAGACAGAAAAAAACATTTTAAACCATTCAGATATGGTATTTTTACTTTAAAAGAATAGTTCAGCCAAAAATGAATATTTGTTGAAAATCATTCATGTAGATGAATTTGTTTCTTCATCAGAACAGATATGAAGAAATTTAGCATTACATTACTTACTCACCAATGGATCTTCTGAAGTGAATGGGTGCCGTCAGAATGAGAGTCCAAACAGCTGATTAAAAAAAATCACAAGTAATCCACACAACTCCTGTCCATCAATTAACATCTTGTGAAGCGTAAAGCTGCATGAAACAAATCCATCAAGACATTTTAACTTTAAAACGTTGCTTCTGGCCAAAATACAAATCCATAATCCACAATAACATTTCCTCTAGTGAAAAAGTTCATCCCCTATTGTCCTCTCACATCAGAATGCACTAACATATTTGTTTAGAACTGTTGTCGCTTGTATACAGTGTGCATATTTCTCTCATGATTCAGACTAAACTTATTCACTGGTTTAAAGTTAAAAAAATCTTAATTATGGATTTGTTTATTACAAACACGCATCTTTGATCAACAGTTAATTGATGGACTGGAGTTGTGTGGCTTATTTGTGAATTATTTGAACTCTCAGTCTGACGGCACCCATTCACTGCAGAAGTGAAGTGAGGAAGTAATGTAATGCTAAATTTCTCCAAATCTGTTCCAATGAAGAAAACAAACTGATCTACATCTTGGATGGCCTGAAGATGAGTACATTGTCAGCAAATTTTCATTTTTGGGTGAACTATTCCTTGAAGCAATTAAATAATTAAAGCAAGCTTCTACTGTAAATCACAATTTAAGTTTTTTTCTTTTCTTTTTCAGTGCTTGGCTCTTTCTTGGGGTTTAAAGATACTATGGGAGACATACTGGCAACACAACTGTGTGACTGTAAAACTCTTTGCAATCCCAGGAATAAATTACATTTTAAAATATATTAAAATAGAAAACAGTTATTTATATATATAGAACACAGTATTACTGTTTTTTTATCAACTAAATGAATTAACGTAGCCTTTTTGAGCATTATAGAGACTTCTTTCAAAAGCTTAAAAAAAAAACTTACTTGAACAGTAGTGTATATATTTTATTAGGAAAGATAGTTTAACATACATGCAGTTATGTTAAAATATTTTTCTTAATAATGATATAAGAATAAATTTTTCCTAATAATAATAAAATCTAGACCAGTGAATAGTAAATAACTAACTAATAAGCAAACAACCATTTTTAAAAAACTGAAGTAACTACTTTTTACCACATAGTAGCAGTGTTGCATTTTCATTAAATAAAGTAAGGACTCAACTAACGGCTTGCCAGCTTCATGTAGCACTTTTGTGAAAGCACTGAGGCTCATAGTCTCAAGTTTTCACCAAAATCGTTCTTTAACATATTTTCAAATGTGTCAGAATTTATCTTATGTGTTGCACTTTAAAGTGTCACACACTGTCAAAAGCAACTACACTGTAAAACATTTCTACCTACTTCAATTAAAAAAAATTTTTTACCATGACATTTCGGATCAAATAATTTACAATGTATTTTTCGAAAATGCACATGAAAAATCTGAAAAATGGAGATTAGTAGGCCCATTAAATTTCTAGTGTGAATTAAAAATGCTAATTTCTTATTTTCATGAATAGTATGGAAATTTAGGGACCTCAAAGTAAAAATGTGTTTTTTAAATGCTGGCTCTTGTTTGTCAAGGTTAGGCATCACCGGTATAAGGTTTAATATATCAGTGTCTCTCTCACCTTATCTGTGAGTGATATGTCACACTCTGGTCTGTCCAGTAGTATTTTGACTATCTCAGTATGGCCGTGCTCACAGGCACACATCAGAGCAGTGGATCCATCCCGGTCCTGTATGTTCACATCAGCACCGCAGTCCAGAAGAACCTGGGCCATCATTGTGCGGCCATGACTAACTGCAAGCATCAGTGCTGTTTGCCCTGACTAGTGGGGAGTAACGAAAAAAAGTCTTATTTATATAAAAGAATCTTCATCATACCATATAATCAAATAAATGATGTACTAAATAACAGCTCAATACTGCACACATAAAGAACTTGTACAAGCTAAAACATTAAGAATTTAGTTGTCTTGTATTACAAATATCAGTAGGCCTACATGAGTAACAAAATTGTGTTTTTTGCAGTACAGGATATTGTGGTGTCTCGCTGTGTGTACCTGGCTGGCTCGAGCATTGATTTTTCCCATTCTCAGTAGCTGCTGAGCCACCTCCATGTCCTCAGGGCTCTCTGCCGCAGTAAGAGCTGCCAGCATTATAGCAGTGTAGCCGGCCTTGTTCTGGTGATCCACCTCACACAATCCTGATGAATATAAAATTAAAGAGAATTTTGGTATATCCAATGGTTTGAAGTGAAAGAGAATGAGATACAGAAGTTAAACTCTGTCTGTTTCCATTCTGAAAAATAAATATATTGATACACACATATAAGACAAGAGTGGAAACTGCTACTATAAATGTAATATATATATATGTATGTGTGTGTGTGTGTGTGTGTGTGTGACCCTGGACCACAAAACCAGTCTTAAGTGTCAATTTTTCAAAATGTAGCTTTATACATCATCTGAAGCTGAATAAATAAGCTTTCTATTGATATATGGTTTGTTAGGATAGGCTTTTAAAAAATTATTTTAAAAAACATATATATATATATATATATATATATATATATAAATTATATAAATGTAAAAACTTTAATTAGACAATGGACTGATATATCCAAACCAATTAATCAGCAATTATCATTTTTGGATTATTGGCTTATAATCATACATGTTTGGCAGATGAACAGTAATGTCATCTTATATTTCATAATATTAACATTTTATTGTATTTTTTATTAAATAAATGCAGCATTGGTTAAATAAATGCTGACTTGCAGCTCTCTAGATTTTGGCATCTGTGTATCGAAAAACCCATATCGCCTGACCCCTACTTTAAAGAATAATTAAAATTCTAATGAAAAATGCTGATATTTCTCAGGTTCATCTTGTCTCAGGTATGAAAATGCAGGTCTCTCACCTGTGTCTAGTAACAGCTTGACCACAGAGAAGTTGGAATGGGACACACTGTAGTGCAGTGCCATGTTTCCATTACCATCAGCCAGGTTTACTATATAGCGCAGCAGAGTGGGAGTGTGGTAGCCCACCTCCCTCAGGTACAGCGTGACTGTCTCTGCCTGAGAGTCCTTCTGACTGGACACACGGAACCACTCCTGATATAACACCATCAGAACCTGCCTCTGAGATTCAAAAGTCAAGAGTTAGCTTACTAAAGAAGACTTATAAAGGTTAAGGTTATAAAGTTACATCTATATTGAGTTGTATTTATTGTCATGTTACGTAGAATGGATAGACATATCGGCTGGAGGAACCGGCTCTATCGCGTCCTTCGCCAGTAGAACTGCGATCTCTGCAGGCAAGACAGGAGCATCTGCTGCTTTCACTGAAGTAAAGTGGACGCCCCTGAACGTGGGAGGGTGCCGGGCGAACTGAATTGCATAGCCGAGCCTGACGGTTCGAAGGAGCCATCGAGACGGGCTGGGTAGCTCTAGCCAGGCTCCCAGACACCGCGTAAGTGGCGTCAACGGAACTACAGGCGTACCCGCAGTGGGGCAGCCAGGGGCCGCCCTCGGCGACGAGCGGGCTGAGGCGCTGCCACCGGCGACCGGGTGGAGGCAGCAGGTGCACGCCGGGGCAGGATGTATCTGATGGCCTCAGTCTGCTTTTGGGCAGCGGAGAACTGCTGGGCGAAGGTCTCCACTGTGTTGCCGAAAAGGCCGGTCTGGGACACGGGGGCGTTCAAGAATTTTGTCTCGTCCGTCTCGCGTATGTCGGCCAACACAACTGCATCGCAACCGACCGCTCCACCTGGGGAACTCCCGCCGACACTCTCGGTGGCCCGGGAAAGCATAGCCATCATTTCTGGGTCCGTATCCCACACCGCTGACCGCCCAGAGGGCGGCAACGCTGACGGATCTTCATCCCCAGAGAAATCCGGCTCACCCTCCGATGCTGCAACCGACATCCGATTGTCGGGGGGAGCCTCGGAAGAAACAGGTGGTACCCCCCCGGGAGGGTCCAGCCTGCTCTCTCGAGGACTCCGCTGGTTTCGGAGTGCCGGCTGGCTGGGGCAGATCTAAGCAGTGGCAGAACCCCAGATCTAGGCAGTGGCACGGGCACTCCGCCCCCTTGCAGGTAACGGAGTCTGGTCCGCAACTCCGAGATGGTCATACCCCCGCAATGGGAGCATGAGTCATCCACGAAAGCCACCTCAGCGTGCTTCGTGCCCAGACACGAGAGGCAGCGATCGTGACCATCACCCGGCGCCAGGTAACGACCGCACCCAGAAACACACGGATGGTACGACATTTTTAAAAAGACTGGTCTTTAAAAAGACGCACCACCCAAGAAGCTCTTTTAGATGGAAATTGCTCTTTTAGTGTGCTGAAGCGCACAGGGGAGATGGCCGTATGCAACACACAAAGGGGTAGTGCAGCCTGTTGTGTGCAACTCACTCGACACGGGAAAACCACCGCCGCTGAAGCGCCGTACCACCAGCACGAGAGCCCATGAAGAGTGTGCTTGACTGTAGTTTTTACTCTATGTAGAGGTCAGGAGCAGAGACGATAGAACCGCTCGGCTCCGAAGCGAAAAGCTGAATATGTGCTGCATCTGCTGCCTACTTATACTCACGCTGTGATCAGCAGCAGCTAGATGCAATAATCGCATGCCAATGTGCATTGGCTCGTTTAGTTTACACTCGAAGTGGATTGGTCTCTCTAAGCGAGATCCCAATTTCGTCGGTCATCCAACATGACATCGATAGTGACCGACTGAAAAGGAACTTTTCCTTCTTGGTACATGTTTGAAGGCAATAAATCAAGTTCAGTGAATCGACATTAACTGCTTACCATGTCTTTATTTGGGGCAGCAACCTCAGCCGTGCGATCCTTCAGGAAATGACAAGCAGCCATGAAGTTCTTATCAACTAACTCACTGCAACAACACAGATTTAGCTGTAATTTAAATCACAGGGATGCATTAAACTCATAAATAATTAGACAGGACATAGTGTCTTCTCTGCAGTTTTTCCAGCCTAAGAAACTTTCGAACTGTTTACAAAAATAGACATAAGATATTAAATCATGCATCAGTCTTCCATGTGCATTATATAAAATCATTGTCAAATACAGATTGGCTGCATACCTAAGCCTCAAAAGAAAATCTGTATTTGATACATATGAAATGCAATGCATTTTGGTAATTTGAATCTTGGTAACATTAGTTGAGAATTACTCATATTGCACTGGCCTCTCAAGCAAATTGTTACAAATAAACATCATAAACATCTTGATTTGGATAACACAAACATCTTCATGTAATTCTGGTACATGCAGATTTTGGAAAAGTTCTGTCACTTGAGGAATATGAACTGTGTTTATAATTTTACATTCTTCTGTATATGTGTTTTTAGACGCTTGTGTACTTGTGGGCCTACACCTGCACTAACCCATTCAAAAGTTTGGGATCAGTGAGATTTGATTAAAGATTTAAAAGTAATTAAAAAATATATTCCTTTGATGGCAAAGCTGAATTTTCAGTGTCACATGATCCTTCAGAAATCATTCTGATATGCTGATTTGGTGTTCAAGAAAAATATTATTATAAATGCTGAAAACAGTTGTGCTGCTTGATATTTTTATGTAAACGAATACTTTGATGAATAGAAATTTCAAAAGAACAGCATGTATTTGAATTCCAAATCCTTTATAATGTTATAAAGGTTTTTACTCTAATTTTTGAGCAGTTTAATAGATCATTGCTGAATAAAAATAATAATTTATTTAAAAGAAGAAGAAGATACAAAAGAAGAAGAAAAAATCTTTCTGTCCCCATAGTTTGACTCTTATACTCTTGATACTATTAATGGTTGGAACTACTTGCAGAAGAATATCTAATATGGTTTATTAACATTAACTTAGAACTAAAGCATGATATAAATATGTATATTTATCTTTGTATCTGGTATATGAGGCTGCATGCCAAATCTCCCAATACATCATTCCCTACCCCAAAATTATAAATATTGTAATGAAAATGGTGTTTTCATAATCATAACAGAAGATACTCTCTGGTTTTGCCATATGGCCATGTAGCTTTAAATAGTTCAGCCTTTTGTTGTTAAGCAGTCCTTTAAGTGGACCATTGACTGGGCATATTAAACTTGTCACTCAGCGTTTGTACTTTCCTGCCAGATGATGGGCAGAACAAAAGGCGGGATTGTGTCTGATTCAGATAACAGAGGCTCCTGCTTTGGGAAACATGCATGAAGGGTCACTGCACACTTTAATGTGTTAAGCCAACTCATATAATGAACTAATGAGCTTTTCACACCAGGTTGAAAAGGTAAAGGGGGCCAGCACAAAATAAAAGTCTTGTGGTTCTTCCTTAAATACTCTTTGAAGTTTTTTCAATGGCAGAGATGCCATTGAATGTAAAACATATATAACTCCCATCAACTGACCACTTAAGCCATAGGGACTTAGAAAAAAAACATGTCTTGTTAGCAATAAGAATGTAAAGTCATTCAACCCTCTCTTTTCACCCCGGCCCTCCATCTCACCTGGCAGGCTGCTCCTCCTGGGGACTCGTGGCGGCCTGGGCAGCATCAGGCTCCTTAGAGCCCTCTGCCACCTCTGCCTGAACCCCATCACCTTGCTCCCCAGTAGCAGCAGCCTCCTCCTGGGCCATTTCACTCTCCTCTCCCTGCTCCGCCTCAGGCTCCGAGCTATCCACCTCATCAACCTCGTCCTGATCCTCCTCCCCAGTGGAGTCCTCACTGGAGGTGGTCTCATAGCTGGACACACAGATAACTGGAGTCAAGGGGGTTCTTTTGATAGTATCCCATTTTGGATTAGCTAACTTTTCTATGATCAGGATTTTATGTCAAACCTGTGTTTAGTTAAGGCTAATACTTCCTGACCATATGTGCTTCAAAATATATGATTACTAATAATGATAATATTTTTATTTTATATTATATTTATTTATTTGGTAAGGCCTGCTAATGGCAAACAAATGTAATTTGTCAGTTGTGAATGGACATGCAAAATTATTGTGTTTATACAAGCTGTTCAAATGAGAGGGCCCTCTGTGGGGGTTCTTATGTGGTGAGCCTGTCTGAAGAATGCCGCTCTTCATGGATGTTTTCAGATAGGCAAGAGGAATGGCATCCCCACAATTCCTCAGGGACATGGGTGAATGGAGGCCTATAGCTGCAGGTCAGGTGACTACACATTTACTAGGGTGTTGAGTATGAGGGCCTCTTTTGAGTACTTCAGTTCTGAGACAAGGAGGTCATGCATTGGTTGAGTATTATGCTCTGCTATTGTCTTAGTAATCAAGATTTCCAAATGTGATTAGTCTAATAGCTTTGTATACGGCTTATAAATAAGAGAATTGGACAGAAAATGGACATGCTGGACAGCCAAAGGGGGTGATTCACATTTTGATACTGCTATTTGTGCTTGGCTGACTGTGACAGCGCTAAATACCGGTAACATAATGAAATTATATTATGGTGGTTTGGGTCAAAACTGTGTGCAAATTCTGAAATCACCAGCTGTCATCGAACAACAGCAGTGCGGGGCCTCTCTCAGGATAATCACAGTATATCAGACATAGACGCAAACCAAATCTGCCAACACTCCCACGCAGTCTTTTCAAACAATATTTCAAAACAGCAGTATATATAAAAGGTCATACATGTATGTCACTTGATATTATTCACAATATAGATATTCCAGCATGTTTTGGCGTTCTGATAAGATAAGGTCCTAACTTGTGTTTTGTTAACCAGTCATGCATTAATTAATTCTGAACTCTTCCTGCTCAAGGAATCAGCATATTGATTTTTTGAGCCATTTTTGTACATGTATACATGTATTGTATGTATATGTATACATGTATTGTATGTATATACACACACACACACACACACACACACACACACATATGTAACATCTGAAGAAAAACTTTTTGTTGTCCATAACATGTATATAAATAAGTAATGAATAAAGCCTAAAGGTAGGCTGTCTGTAAGATTAGAAATGTATTTTCTTGCCCCTGAAATAAAATTTGGCTAAATGTTTTGGTATATGAAGGTTAAAAGTAAATATATTTTCAATATCAATTATGTTTAGCAGGCCAGTTGTTTTCCCAATTCTATCAGGATAATTATCTTATTGTTGAAGGCTGGTCAAATACAGCTGAGACAGAACCATCTCTGCTGCCAAGCTAAACAAATCATTCACCGCACACAGCGACAGGCAGACAGGCAGAGACACAGCAAGAGAGAGAGGGACAGAGAGAGGACTTGTTCTTTGTGTCATCTCACTAGGCCTCACTCATCATGCAACAGCTCTCACAGAAAACAATGCCGACACCTCATGGCCCATTTCTAACAGAGCACTGTGATGAAGGATGAAACAGATTAAGGGATGCAAAGTGACAGGCCGGACATCTGATGTCATGGATGTTGATGAAATAGATTCATCCTTCAACACTTTACATGAAAACACCTGCAACTGTGATTCTGGGGCAACTGCTAAATGTAAGGCATAACGTTCATTTAGGTCCCCCATTAGACTTTTAGGAGTGTCCTAACTTCTTTTTAATCACTTACAACATTATTTTATAACTTCTACACAGATGACAGGTGATTTTATGAAAAGCATTGCCATCCATATAAACTATTTGCTATAAAAACAAAACAAAATAAAAACACATACCCTCCATTTACGCCAACAAACTTCAAGTTCTTCTTCGCTCCCCCGTTGCCCTGCTTGTCAGGACAGTCATTCTTCTTCATGATAGATTTGAGGCCTTATATGGGGGAGATAAAAAGTAAAAACGTAAGCCAAGTCTGCACCTGTTCATCATCCCTAGCACTGACTTAACTCTATACATCACACAGTCAATTTTGTCCAACCTGAAAACAAAGAAGTCTAGGAGATATTACTTTTGAATGTCTTGAAATAACTTTACCAAAAGCAATATGAACAGCAAAATGCTGAACCGTACACTTGCTGTGCTCCACAGAGTAGGTAAGTCAGATGTACTCATTCATAATGTAGCACAGCAAACTGTCAAAACAACTGTTACAGTCACAGAGGTACTTATATTTTAAAAGAAACAAAAAAAAGAGACCACCATTCTTACCTACCACAATAAATTCTCATCAGTGATGTGATCGTAAAAGAGATAGAATAGTACAGAGCCTTTACAAAGATTTTTTCCCTAGTGTTTGTCTGAGATTGTTGCAGAGAACAGAGGTGTGTAACAACCAAAGGAGCCAGTGGATGCAATTACAACAAAACACAACACATCAAAGGGTTTGAAGAGCTTCTGGGAATTATGAAAAAAGCTCAAAATGTCCCATAAGACTGTGCATTACCCAGGACACAACGAGATCAAAATTAGCCAGGAAACTATCATTTTGGTAAAACAGGTTGCTTTTAAGTGACCGTAATATTGTACAATATTCAGTGAAATTGCAGAAGAACATAATTAGAACAAAATAGCATAAATAACTGGTTGCACAAATAACAATGGATGCCAGTATTTTGCAAGCACAGTAATATGCCAGATGCTTTTAAACTGTTAACACACATCTCCTAAATTATCTTGGCATATGGAAAGCAACTTCAATATGAATGCCCAATGCCACTGGGTCTCCGCATTGCAACAGATGGGTTTCTGTGCCGCACATGCATACATAACAGACAAAAATATGCATATTTGAACGTATTATTTCAAGTTGACTTTAACATATGTTTCAGATCTTTAGATTGTCATCTCTAGCTCCCAAAACCTTCACTTCAAACTCAGTAAGGTTGTAAGCAGTGTGCATTCAGATGTATGGGTCAACTTCCTATGTAGAATAGAATATACTGAAATGTTTGCTAGTTGTTAATGGACACCATGATGTCAATAGTTTTTGTAGGTATTTGTAAGTAAAGTGTATTTACTGTGTATATACATTTTTCGTATGATTGGACAGACCCTGAAACATACAATATGAATTTACTGACAGCATCTAGAATGTAAACCTTTTTACATAAGAACCATACAAATGGTTATAAATCCTTGAGGTTTGCAGAATAAAATCATAAGGTTCATAGAATACCGTTTTTTTTTTTACTCATTGTAACATGGTTGACACCTAAATACCGTAGCTTTGCTTACAAGCTGCACATGCAAGCTTTGTGAAACAGGCCTAATACAAGAAATATCTAATACCAAAGAACTATCTTACCATCTAAGTCAAAGAGACAATCACATCAGTCAGTATTGTCTATTTAAAAAAAAGAGACCACCATTCTTACCTACCACAATAAATTCTCATCAGTGATGTGATCGTAAAAGAGATAGAATAGTACAGAGCCTTTACAAAGATTTTTTCCCTAGTGTTTGTCTGAGATTGTTGCAGAGAACAGAGGTGTGTAACAACCAAAGGAGCCAGTGGATGCAATTACAACAAAACACAACACATCAAAGGGTTTGAAGAGCTTCTGGGAATTATGAAAAAAGCTCAAAATGTCCCATAAGACTGTGCATTACCCAGGACACAACGAGATCAAAATTAGCCAGGAAACTATCATTTTGGTAAAACAGGTTGCTTTTAAGTGACCGTAATATTGTACAATATTCAGTGAAATTGCAGAAGAACATAATTAGAACAAAATAGCATAAATAACTGGTTGCACAAATAACAATGGATGCCAGTATTTTGCAAGCACAGTAATATGCCAGATGCTTTTAAACTGTTAACACACATCTCCTAAATTATCTTGGCATATGGAAAGCAACTTCAATATGAATGCCCAATGCCACTGGGTCTCCGCATTGCAACAGATGGGTTTCTGTGCCGCACATGCATACATAACAGACAAAAATATGCATATTTGAACGTATTATTTCAAGTTGACTTTAACATATGTTTCAGATCTTTAGATTGTCATCTCTAGCTCCCAAAACCTTCACTTCAAACTCAGTAAGGTTGTAAGCAGTGTGCATTCAGATGTATGGGTCAACTTCCTATGTAGAATAGAATATACTGAAATGTTTGCTAGTTGTTAATGGACACCATGATGTCAATAGTTTTTGTAGGTATTTGTAAGTAAAGTGTATTTACTGTGTAGTATATACATTTTTCGTATGATTGGACAGACCCTGAAACATACAATATGAATTTACTGACAGCATCTAGAATGTAAACCTTTTTACATAAGAACCATACAAATGGTTATAAATCCTTGAGGTTTGCAGAATAAAATCATAAGGTTCATAGAATACCGTTTTTTTTTTTACTCATTGTAACATGGTTGACACCTAAATACCGTAGCTTTGCTTACAAGCTGCACATGCAAGCTTTGTGAAACAGGCCTAATACAAGAAATATCTAATACCAAAGAACTATCTTACCATCTAAGTCAAAGAGACAATCACATCAGTCAGTATTGTCTATTTAATGAGCTTACTGAGAAGGCACATGACTATATGGAATGAGACCTCATCTTACCTGATTGTCGTGAACCCCCTCCTTTCTGAACAGGTGAGTAAAATGCAGACAGGGCACTGAGGGACCCTCTCAGATGGCTTTGAATTGAGCTTATTTTGGAAGAATGAGGTTTCTGAGAGCTCTCTCCTTTTGCGTCTTGGCCCCCACTTCCCAAACTGGCCCACTGCTCATTAAGAAGCCCCTGTATACGATTAACAACCTGACCGATTGCAGCAGGAGAAGCTGTGGCTTCAGATGCCCTTTGAGACTGGAGGTGGGGTTCCTGTCCTTGTGTTTCTCTTGGTTCCTGCTGTGTTTGCAAACCTGAACAACTTTCTACTCTTGCTTTGTCTGTTACTGTGCTTTCAACAACTGGACTCTCCTTAGATTCGATCTCTTGGACTGTGGGCTTAGGGACTTCATTTTCACTGTCTATAGTCTCAACCATGGCACTTTCTACCATGACATATTCTTCAGTGTCACTCTCTGCAACAACAATTTCACTGACTTTGGTATCTATAATCTGACTTGACACACTTTCTTTGATATCACTCTCTTGTTCTTTGTCTTTTACAGAATCTGTCTTCTCTAGCATTTCAGAGATTTCCTGACAACTGTTACCTTCTTTATCCTGGACTTCAGTCTCCATTGCCTGGTCACACATGACAATCTCTACCCCTACAATTTTGTCTGCTGTAGTGACTTGTGCTAATACTTCAATGTCTCGCGCTTCTACTATATTTGTCTGAGTGCTCGAGCATTTAGAGTCTGTTTCTTTGGGACCCTCAGCTGGTTGAGGTTCTGTTGAGATTCCTTTCTCCAGGACACTTTTGCTGTCTGTACTGACTGATGCATCACACGTGACAACTGGTTCACACAGCGGCTCTGTCTCGATAGGACCTTGAAGTTTCTGCTCCTTCACTTGGTCAATCAGTTCCTGTATTCTCTCATCCTTTAGTCTATTCTCATCCATCTGCTCTCTCAGTAAGGCATTTGTCTTTTCCAATTCACAACTGGCCTTGCTTAGTCTCTCTTCTAAAGTTTTCAGTTTTGCTTCCAGCTCCAGGTTAGTGAGAAGTTTCTGTTCAGCAGGTTGGGCTGTTTTATTTTCTTCAGTTGTAGTTACACTTGGTCCCTCAACAATTGCAGAATCTTCTTGATTGGATGTAAATTCAGATGCAGCAACTGATTCCTCTGATTCTGAAATCCCTTGTAACTGTGTTGACGCTTTATCTTCTAATAATGTATCTAATGATCTATCCTGCTTTTCTGCTTGCTCTGAAAGACTCTTTGATGCTTCATCTTGAAGTGTAGACTCCTGCAAAAGTCCCTCTGCTTCATCTGGATCAGTTGGAGTTTCTGCTTTGTCTATGAGTATTACTGGAACAGACACTGGAGCTGGTACTTGTTCCTTCTCTGACTCTGTATCAGTTACTGGCTCTACAAAATCCTGCACCACAAGATTTTGTTCCTCTGACTGTTGTTCTGTGTTTTTGTTGGACTGTACTGCTTGAACAATTTCCTGATCAGCTGCAGTATCCATGTGAATGGAAGGAGCATCTTTATTTTCCCTTACAACTGGAGGAACAGCACTGGCTTGCACATCAGTTTGAGGAACCTCACACTTTTGCTTGGACTTTTGTTCTTGAATTCTTTGAAGCAGTTCTTCCCTCTCCGTTCTAAGAGAGCATATTTGAGCCCTCAACTCAGGAATGGTCCTGACTTGCTCTTCTAACTCACGCACCCTTTTCAGCGCAGCTGTGATTTGTTGATGCAAGCTGGCCCTGTCCTGGGGAACACTGCCTCTGTCAACTCCATCCGTTGGTCGAAAAAGCCTCTCAGCTGAGCCTTTCTGCGATTGGGAACTCTGCTCATCAGTTGAATCTGATCCTTTCCTACGTGGGACATTAATAGGCATGCTAGAGGCTCTTAACAGGTGAGGCCTAACATTAAGGCCCATGGGCTGTTCATTCTCAGATGAGGTCTGTACTTGAGACTGTTCTGCTGCCTTTGGTGAGGGGAGGTAACCACCCCCTGGCATCTTTGACTGGCTGGCAGGGGAGCTTCCACTGGTGCTACTGCTACTACTAATGGCATCACTGGCTCGGAACTCGAAAAGCTTCTGGACTTCAGTAACACGTGACTTGGGTTTGGACCCTAAAGTGGAAGTATTGGCCCATGTGTCTTTGGCTAGAGGCCGAGCGCCATGCCCAGGAAGGCTGAAGTTGCGTGGCAGTGTGCTGTACTTTGGGCCCCTGTTCTTACGCTGGATGTGCACCCTCTTGATTGTGTTCCCTTTCTCTATGTCATCTACATACTTCAGGAAGTCCAGATCCAGGTGAAACCCATAGGGGGTCTCTACAGAATATGGCAGCTGTTTACGCTGTACTCCACTATCTGTAGCCTTGGAAGGAAAGCCATTTGCTGAAATACAAGGTACATATTACACATTTTGCATTTTCTCATAGTAATTCCAATTCAAGCAACCATTGTATTATTGAGCATATGGAGCATAATTCAACACAACAAAACAGTCGATGGTGTTATCATTGTGCAAGGATTTGGAAGACATGAAATGCAAACACTTTTTTGCTGTCAACTCTTGTATGAACACAAGTGGAAGGAATATATTTACACATTTAAAACTGGAAATGACTAAAAACAATCTGGTGTTCTTACCACTTTTCTTGTCCATTATTTCTGTTTTTGCAGTATCATGGGTGAAATCTGTTGTAAACACTGAAAACCTGTAGGCAGATCAAAATAAAGATGTACAGATCTAACATTTTTTATTAATAATCTAATGCAGGAGTGTCAAATTGTATGAACACAAGTGGAAGGAATATATTTACACATTTAAAACTGGAAATGACTAAAAACAATCTGGTGTTCTTACCACTTTTCTTGTCCATTATTTCTGTTTTTGCAGTATCATGGGTGAAATCTGTTGTAAACACTGAAAACCTGTAGGCAGATCAAAATAAAGATGTACAGATCTAACATTTTTTATTAATCATCTAATGCAGGAGTGTCAAACTCAATTCCTGGAGGGCCGGAGCCCTGCAGAGTTTAGATTCAACCCTAATTAAACACACCTGATCCAACTAATCAAGTCCTTTAGGGTTATTTGAAAACTACATGGTATGTGTGTTGGAGCAGGGTTGAAACAAAACTCTGGAGAGCTCCAGAATTGAGTTTGACACCCCTGATCTAATGAATCAGTGACAACAATAATTACATTATGCACATACTGTAGGACATGTTGCTTTGGCAGTAAATTAAAATACTAACTTCCCGTGCAACATGACTTTATATTATTTGTTTGTGTCATTTTAAAACACCACACCACTAATAAAACCACAGTGATATAGTTCATTCTGTTAAATTTACTCCAGATGGCTCACAGTTTATGTGGGGTTGATTTAGGCAATGGAAAACAATTTTGCCATTTTAGATTTAAGATTCTTCAGGGGCTTACGTAAGGCCGCTGATCAAAATACATCATGTTAATACAAACTGGACACACCCTCAGGCTTCAGGTCTGGAGATCTACTTGCCGAATGTTCCCACTGTGTCCTATCTTGAAATCATCCTAATTTACATAAATGTGGCAAGAAAACATACTGCTGGCAAAAGACAATCTCACTTGACAGTGTAAGAAAACTAACTGCTGTTTTTGATTTAGTGTGGGAACAAATACATTTCACCAGTCACTAAAGATGTACACTCAGATTTTTGTTATTCTGAAGTAGCACCATACTGTAGGTTTACCTTTGAGCTTTTCAACAATGATATAACCTATTGTTTATGATTACTGTGCTATATATAAATTAATACACTGTATGTAGCACTGAAATTGTGTTGGATGCCACTTCACACAGCATATTCATTAGAGCCCTTGAGATGTAATTATACAGTCAAATTATACATGAAATGTGAACCTTCATCTGGTGAAGATGATCCTTTTAAAATCTTTTGCTTTAATGGAACCATATTCAACCCCCTCAAGGCATGTTTGCAGATCTTAACTATGTACTGAACTTATGGGAGAAAGATTACTCAAAGATGTGTCATCTGGCTGTGATTTCAATGTTGTAATCTGAGCCAAGGCTTGGTATTTGGACAGTTTGGAAAAGGATATTCTTCAAAGGTGCTATTCGACTATGTTTCATGAAATCTGGATCATTGGCTGGCCGCTGGATGTTCAGACCTGGACAGACCGGTATAGAAAAAAGAGAATATATGCTGACCTTTTCAGTAAAAACAAAAACCAAAAACCTCTGACCTCTTGAAGTTACAACAAAATGTTCACTATGCACCATCAAGAACAGAGCCGATTAACAGATGAAGTACCTGTTGGAGATATATATTTCACACTGACAGTACAAGCAAGGATAGAAATATGCCTTGGTTGCTTTTTAGAAATGGGCTCTGAGCCATGGTTTGGTTGAGAAGTCAAGTGCTAAGCATTCTGAAGCGCAGTGGTATAACAGAGTGCCAACACAGCATTTGGTGATCAGACCATCAATCAGCTAGCTCCCATGATTTCTGTTCACAACACATTTACTTTAGAAAATAAAGTTTTAAAATCAATGATACCGTGAAAAAGAAATAGAGTGGTATGGCATATGGGGTTCAAGTTTTAGGGATGTAATCAGAAGGTTGCTGGTTTGGTCACCACAAAGACCAAGCCATGAGCAATCACTGTTGTGGCCTTGAGCAAGGCATTTAACTCCCGGCTGATCCAGGGGGACTGACCTGTTAGTAACTGTACTGTAAAGTCTGTTTGCAAAAGAGTGCCATCTAAATCAGTGGTTCTCAACTGCTTTCACTTCAGGACAAAGGTTTTATATTGGACATCACGAGGAAACACACAATTGTAGGGAACCACTTAACACAAATCCAATGTTTGTTATTGTTAACTAGTAAAACGAAATAAATAAATAATAATAATAATAATAATATTTTGGTGATTGAAATAAATCAGAAATAAAATAAAATATAAATATATGAAAAACTCAAAACATAAATGAAAATTAGAAATGTTGTAATTGAAACTAAGTTAAAGTCGATAGCACTGGCATCTGCTTAATCTGACAGATTTAGATACTGAAACTGAAATACTGAGTTTGACTTGACAGCTATTAAGAAAATCATTACCAGATGTCATAATGCTAGAACGTTAAAGTGTTTTTGTTACAGTGCTAATTAAGGAAATATTGAGCGTCTTAATTAGACTCCTCCGTGTACAAACAGCCTGCATTTATCCTCAGGTTTCAAGGCAAAACCCCATAATAGTGTGAGTTTGAGCTTGACTGACAGCTGAATCCCCAGAATCCGACACACTGCAGCAAGCATGGAAAATGTACAGCTTCTTAAGTCCTCCTGGTGAAGAAGGGACAAGGCAGGGACGGCAGGGGATAAGGGGCATCTCCAACCTAAGAAATGTTTAATGTGATTCAAATACACTGTCTGTCGTTGAGTCCTAATTAGCTAGAGCTGGAATGCAGCTTGTAATTGCTGAGTAAAGTGAGGCCTAGCCGCTTGTCAGTTATCCACATGGAACCGAAGAACACAACACTGCCTATTTAATTAGATACTGAAAGAGAGAGAGAGAGAGAATAAGTGAAGAGGCAAGTGGGAAAGAGAGCGAGAGAGAGAGAGAGAGAGAGAGAGGAAAAAAAAGATTGCAAATCATGGCCACTGGAGAGAAATTACTTTAATAAGAAGACTTTCATGCAATCCTCTGTTGGCCTCATTTACAGGAATCTGTTTTAACTTATCAGTGATATTAGGCCATTTGAGTGAGTACATTTCAAGACTTCATGTTTCTAGTTTGTTTCAAGATTGCCTTTCCTTCAAAAGATAGTTTGTTGTGAACCAAATGTTTAGAATCAGCTGTTTGCATTGCACCCTGAAAAAAAAAAATCATTCAATTGGATTGCAATACCCCATGCATTATATCAATTTAATTGGTTGACCTTTTTATCCTGCTCTAGCTCACGGATAACCCAACGGACCATGTACTGGTGAGCTATAATGGAAAGTCACTGTTTATTTACCTATTCACAGCAGATTTAATTCAATATAACTAATCAAATTGCAGAGAAGGAGCAGAAGTGAGGGAAGGAAATCAATCTCATTTGCTGTCTTTGTAACCGTGTAGGGGCAAAATGCACGCAAACACACACTCACTCACACACACACACATACACACACATACAATCCACCTGTAACTATACAAGCTCAGCATCTAGTGCTGATTAGGAGTGCTGAAGCCTTGAAAAGAAATCGAACCAAACAGAGCCAAAAGCAGTGCAAACCACCTGTACAGCCAACAAAACAACATCTGTGGGCATTCTCAAGGCATGCCAGCTGGACAATCAGGGAAGGTTTGTTAATATTCCACATGCCTGTTATTCGTGATCCTCACCATAAACCTGAGATTTCAGGTCTGAGAATGCACACACACTCACCCAATTCACTGATTCAATATTTTTACACAAAAACATAAGACAACTTTTGTTTGTTAGAATTTAAGAGCTAACCAACTGCTTTTACATTAATACCTTGCCAGGACAGACATTTTAACCAAGACGTTCCTTTGATCATTATAGGCACAGCTGCATGCGAGACACTAGCTATCTTACCAAAGAATGTGGGCAAAAATATACACATGAGCGTCGGAAAGCGGATAGCAGAGCCCCACATATGACATGATGGGGGAAAATTATATTGTGGTCACTAATTAAAAATTAATTCCCACAACTTATTAATTTGTTCCTTCATTTCAGTTAAATCACGGCCATATACTTATACATTCCCTTGATAAACTCAATTAAAATGAGTGAACAATTTATTACAACTTAGCCACAATTTATGAGCATGTATTAATAAAATGTGGCTATGAATGAACAAGTTGTGAGAACTAATACTTCATTTGTGTCCACAATATTTTTTTTCTACTTGTCATGTGCAGGACTCAGCAGTATAGCATGCAGGTTAAGTCTGTATAATATTTTTGACATATCTATTACTTTAATATTATTGTCATTGACATCACTGAATCAATGTTTACTATTGTCCTCTTGCATTATCGACACACTATTATCCTGTTTAACACTGTAAAGCAGCTTTGACACAATCTGTATTTTATAAAGTGCTATATAAATAAAGGTGACTTGAATCGTTTTTTTCTACAAGTAGTACTCTAATTTGATTGGTTGGATGATGCTAACAACACTGGGACTTTTTGCTGGTTTTGTTTGTGCGTTCACCACAGCCTGTCAAGTTACAGGATACTCCAGTAGGTGGCGACAAGTAACTTGCTGCATCCGATTCGAATGTCTACTTTCATACTAAACAGAAAGTGAAAAACAGTATGCCAAAAGAGTAGTAAGTCTGAATTCATAGTAATCAAAAGACGAAAGTATGAGAAAAGTACCTACTACTTCCGCAGAGATTCTGCAGTGCGCATTAAATAGACACTTTACAATCCCACGAAGCCAGGGGAGAGGAATTGCGAATGCCAGTGAAGCAACGCAACTGACACTGGTAGGTCACATGACAGTGAAAACGTGGCAAATGTAGTATGTCTGAATTTCATTACCCATATTCATACTATATAGAACATACTTTTTTAATGGTTGCAAAGTATGTTTCAAACCACATGTAGTAACTACTAGACAGTATGCAATTTGGTAGCCAGGTACTGTCTTTATGAGTCAGTGAATCAACAAATCA